GCAGATTTCACTCATAACCTGACGGACGGTCTGGCAATCGGCGCCTCCTATTTGGCCGGAAATAGCATCGGAATAGTGACGACAATCACGATTCTGTTGCATGAAGTGCCGCATGAGATCGGAGACTTCGCTATACTGATCCAATCGGGCTGTAGTCGTCGCAAAGCCATGTCCATGCAGTTGATCACCGCCGTGGGCGCACTCACCGGCACCTGTATTAGTCTGTTCGCCCAGGGTATGAGCGAAGCGGCCTCCTTATGGATACTGCCGTTCACCGCCGGCGGCTTCATATACATCGCAACCGTGTCTGTGATACCGGAGCTCTTGGAGAAGACAAGTCTCGTCCAATCAATCAAAGAAGTGTTGGCGCTTCTGGTGGGCGTAGGAATGATGGTATTAATCGCTCGCTTTGAATGATGCCATGAATTAAACATATTTTTAAATTAATTATTTCACTTTCTGTTTATGATATTTGCTGTTTTTAATGATATTATTGATTGTTATAATGTTTCCGAATTATCGCATGTTTTTGCCGATTTAATTCAGTTTTTAATTCAGAAAATACTGATAATTGCTTTTAGTTGTCATTAAAGCCGCGATTTATTGCTCAGTATTTCTCGAAATAGTTGACTATTTATTAATTGGGTATCAAATGTAGTTTGCTTTCAATGTATGAATTATTCTATACAATAATGACAATGTTTAATTTGTTATGTATGTTATACAAAAACAACTTATGCTTTTGGTATAAATAGTATGATACCGTAAAACATTACAAAAGTGACAATTGAGACTACAATTTGTTACTTTTTACACTTGGTATACAAGCGTTTAGTTAGTATATTTTATAATATGACATATATTAAAAGTTAGTTATAAGTCAATTTATAAACAAGTTAAGAAGGATCTAGGATAAATTTGAAATTGTCTTTTAATTACTGTATATGAATTGAATTTTTATTTTTTCTATGGATTAATGTTTTCAGAGAAATGTATAAAACGTCTCAAAAGAGAAATTCTAACAAAATATATAAAACAAAAACTTCTAATAATAAAAATGAGAAAATAGTGATTAAATAGAAGTTTTCAATCACTTTTGGTTGGCTTTCTGGAAGTCAATCATGAATTGTCTCAAAACCTTCGTCTCCTCCACAGTCATGGCGTTGAAGAGCGAGGCTCTGATGCCACCGACCGATCGGTGACCCTTCAGTTGAATCATGCCCTTAGCCTTGGACTCGGCCACGAACCGCGCCTCGAGGTCGGCGTTCCCGGTCTGACCGCCCACTCGGAACGGGATGTTTACGCGACTCCGAGAGTTAGGCTTAATGGGCGAGTAGTAGAAGCCGTTGGACTGATCGATGGTGTCGTATATCAATTTGCATCTCTCGTCACTGCGTCGGGACATAGCCTCCAGACCTCCGTTGTCTTTAATCCATTGCAGATACAGTCCACACATATATATACTAAACGCAAACAAATTATAAAATGGATTCAGTTTTTTGTAGAATATTCCGTCGGATTCTGTGTTAAACATACGGATAAACGGGTGGTGTGTTGTACAGAGAGTTATTGTCGTCCATAATCTTGTAGTTGAGAATCGATGGACAGACATCCATAGCCTTTCCGATGAGATCCTTGCGGACCACGACGATAGCCAAACCGGCGATTCCGCAGTTCTTCTGTGTGCCCGCAACCACTGCCCCGTACTTCTTGATATCGATGGGTCGGGTGAGGAAGTTGGAGGTCATATCGCACACTAACGGCACGTTTGGCAAACGATAGCCAAACCGGCGATTCCGCAGTTCTTCTGTGTGCCCGCAACCACTGCCCCGTACTTCTTGATATCGATGGGTCGGGTGAGGAAGTTGGAGGTCATATCGCACACTAACGGCACGTTTGGCAACGATTCGGGAATGTATGGGAATTCTATGCCATGAATGGTCTCGTTGTCGGTGTAGAAGAAGTATTTGGCGTTTGAGTCCAGTTTCCACTCACTTTTATTGGGAATCTCGAAGTATTCCTTCAGTTTAGGGGTCACTGTATTGACAGTCGTATACTTTTGGGCCTCTTTGGCCGATTTGTCACTCCAGGCGCCCGTCACTAAGTAGTTAACGAGTGAGCCGTCCTTTAGACCGGAGATTAGATTCAAGGGAAGAGAAGCGAACTGTCCGGTGCCTGAGCCGTGCATTAATAGTATACTGTAATTGTCTGGAATTCTCCTAAAATATTGCAATATATTAATTGTATTTAATGTGATTTTGTTGTATTATGTTAATTGAGACAATGATCTTATATTGCTTCAAATCTTACATCAATTCTGTCAATAATTTTTGTACATTTTTGACAATCGCTTCAAATTCAGCTGATCTGTGGCTCATCTCTAATGGGGTTAAAAATAATGATAAGATATGACATTTAGACTTAGGAACCGATATACGACAAAGTATAATTTGTTTTTTGTATGATTGTACTGAAAATCACATTCGTGCTAATGTTTAGATTAAGAAATTCTTGTCTAAATAAGATATTCAGCTATAAGTTACTACAGTAAGCAATTAGTGAACCCAAATTGCACTTATACATTTTGTGAATAGAAATTTATATTTATTCAAAAACTATTTAATCTGTTATCATAGCTGATAACATTTTACAGTACACTTAAGTATTTTATATGACTAAATGGGAGACTTTAAAATTTTTAGATAGTTTTCTTAAAATTATTACAAAATCATATGATTTTTAAAAAGTTTCTGAAGTATAAAATTCAAATTGATTTCAAAACTAATTTTATAGACACCTATCGATATTATTACATAACATTCATTAAATTACAGTTAAGTTAGTGAAATACAAACACAGGATAGACTTAATAAAAGCAAAAGTGATACATCAAGGTTATCCAGTGCTCACAAATGTGCATCACTGTCAATAATGTATAGCTTTGACAAAAACACAAACAAGTAGCTAAAAGTTTTAACTTAAAACGAACTGGTTTCTATATAAATTCCTATGAATACACAAATATTTTTACTAAATATAACTATAAATATTTTAAAACTTAATATACAATTAAATGCTTACCCATTATACTAATACCAGTGTTTTCATAATGAATGAGTTCTTCTTGAGCTTTCTTAAGGATCTGTCAAATGGTAAATATGAGTAAATAATCGATCATTTGTGACCATTTAGTGAACGCATACCTCGTGTGGCAGCTTAGCTGGTCCGGGTGAGAAGTTGATCACTTTAGGCTTGCTGGACATTATGGCTAACTGTTTGGTTAACTTATTAATGAGTACTGTATAATGAAAATCAATTAAATGATTGAAAGCTACAAGCAAACTATTTATATGAGATTCTGGTGTGAAATATGAAACGAGAATTACATAAACTTTGAACAAAACTGGAAAACAAGTGAATAGCGAGTGATTTGGGGACCAGTATTGCTCCGACAGCAACACGTTGTCTATCTATTCAGCCTTCACTTCGCTGTTCACGTCATTCACTCTTTCGACTAATAAAGCGAACGAATTGTCGAATAGTTTTCAAGGATTTCGTGTTTTCTCAGCACTGCTTGCAATGTGAGACACAACTGACGGCATTCATTGCGTTATGCGGTGAACGACTGGTTAGAGATAAACGGCTGTAGACTTGGAGTCTGAGTTTAACGGTAGTTACAGANAGGATTTCGTGTTTTCTCAGCACTGCTTGCAATGTGAGACACAACTGACGGCATTCATTGCGTTATGCGGTGAACGACTGGTTAGAGATAAACGGCTGTAGACTTGGAGTCTGAGTTTAACGGTAGTTACAGATGTATTCATTCAAATTGATCTCATAACTCACTTTTTTGTTAATTACTGGTTAGATATTTGTCACTTGCTCATTATTTGTACATTCGTCTACTAGCGCCTACAATTATCAAAGTACCAAATTGGTACTACCAATACATACCACACTAACAGTTGCAAAACTTTGGTACAACTTTAACATTAGTTAGTATTTAAATTCTAGATTAAAGACATTTATACACTATTGCCTTACTGCATATTCTATACAATTTAAATAATTGATAAAGTTTAACTAAGTACTAAGTATAATATATGATATTTATTTTTCAAATAATTTCACTTTCATTTTGAAATAAATTCTCAATTTATAACAAATTTCATATGCATTTAGATTTTTAAAACTAACAAATAAAATAAAAACATTATAAATAAAATCCTTTTTTAGGAAATATATATAAATAAAATATAAAATAATTAGAATTTCTTATATCGGATACAAAACTATAGAAATGAAAACAATGTACAAAAATGTTTGCCATATGAGAGAGATCTATGAGTTGAGTGGTTATGATTGGGAAGGGATGTCATCACTGGATGTGTTGGCTATTCTTGGAATTGTGGCAAACGTTGCCCTAAAGCGAATGGTGTGACGGATCTGTTGTCCATCAGATGACATTCCCCTCTCATCACTAGTATTATCCTCCCGTTCAAACTCTATAGGTATGAGTGGAGCACCGGTAGTACGGGACGAGTGGGTCAATGATTGCGATTCTCTTATGGGAGTGGAAGTGATGGCTCCCCTCATGAGTTCAACTAAACTGATTTCAGCCGTAATTTGACTCTCAAATGGCAACGAAATATCGATCTCTATATCAAAACTAGTGCTCGCATTGAATTGTATGTCAAACTCCATGTCCGGGCCATCCGGGAGTATGGGTTGTCGACAAACGGGACAATTGTGGTGCTCACTGATCCAGGTATTAATGCACTGGTCGTGGAATTCATGCTTACATTTGAGAATCACATTCGCGTCGTCCGTATTCACTGAAT